GAAAAGTCGAAAAAAGTCGAAAAGTCGAAAAAAGTCGAAAAGTCGGCCATTTATAAAATACTAAAAGTCGAAAAGTCTAAAAGTCGACTTTTAAATAAATGGAAAAGGTCGAAAAGTCGAAAAATCGACTTTTCATAAAATGGAAAAAGTCGAAAGGTCGAAAAGTCGACTTTTAACTAAATGCAAAAAGTCGAAAAGTCGACTTTTCGTTTCAACTATAGAACCCTAATTTAAACTTGTTTTGTTATCTGTCACACTGTTGCTGTTAGCTGTTGAGTAAAAAGAGCCTTAAAGTTCAACAAAAAAAAATTGCAAAAACAAACTAAATTTCAGCACAAACAAATAAATTGAACAATTGCATGATTATCAACAGCAAATATATAATTCTATAGTTAATTTAACCGTATAGACCACTAAAAGGAACGCCTTATTCAAGAAGCTGTTTGCTACCATTCACTCATTCACTCTCTGGCTTTTGCTAGAACGATAGTTTAACCCACCACTTACTACTAGCACAATAGCCAGCCACTAGATTCAAGTAGTTTATAGTAAATACCATACAATCATGATATTTTACACAAGCCTGTTTATCAGGCTCATCATTTTGTCCGCCTTTTGCACTTAGAAGTCGTAGTGGTTGTTGTTGTTGTAGTAGATCCAATCAGTTTATCAGGCAATTCATGCATAACGACTAAAGCGGCCACAATGACTACATTTGAAGAATTTTACTACTACTACTACCACTATCATCATCATCATATTGCTTTCTTGTTATTTTAGCTAGGACCAGTTTTCCGCATGTTTGACATCATTTCGAATATTGCATCACAATATAATCAATGTGTACAATGTGTAGTATGAAAAAATATATAAAAAATACGGTTCAAATGAAAAAATCTAAATTGGCTCAATGCCTTATTATTAATACATGTGTATGTAGTGGTATCTAAATTTTTTCAAAGAATATGAAAGTGCGTAAAATGGATTTTCTTTCATACCATATAATAACTTTACAAGACTAGCTGATCTATATATAAAAGATATTGTTTATTGTAAATGAAGATGTTGGTTTTGGTCAAGAATGTACTTTTTCACAAAGTCATTTAGTCTATTACTTACTGGTTTCAGTTGGTTTTTAAGAAATGCGTATGAGTTAAGTTTATCTTACACACTTGTGTTTTATTAAATGGATACATACATATGTATGCATGAAGTCTTGAATTAGCATTAGACCAGTTTTAACCAATAAGGAAAAAACATATTGTCATGCATTGTAAAGTGAAATTTTTTTATTTCAGCTAGAGTTTTTAGAAATTCTAAAGCCAACCTGTACAACATTCTAGAATTAGCAATTACTTACACTTTCGCCGGGAAAAGAGGGAAATTTTCGAAATTGATAAATTGTTCAATTATAAATGGAAATTTTATTGGTGAATGTTGGAATTTTTATAGAATTATGGGTTTGTGAGAAATTGCAGGCATTACAGCAAACAGGTTCAAACAATAGTGATAATTGGGAGACCTATTATGGGTGGCTGGTTCTATAGAAAGTCCATCCAAATAGAATTTGTTAAAATTTCATACATCATTTGTTTCGACATTTTAGATTTGTTCCAACATGATAGTCGATTTACCGACTTTTTTGAACATAAAGGTCGATTAATAAACCATATATGAGTATGTCGGATATTTTGAATGGTGATGGATGTAATATATCCTATATAGATGATACCATTGAATTATCCTTCCTTGTTAGGGTATGTTCCGGGTTTACTCTGTTCATACCAGACTTACTAAAGTGTCTCTAGGTGCTGTTGCGGAATCAATCTGCATGGATTTAAACGAATGTGATGTTTTTGCATCTTGGAAGTTACGTAATGTGACAGCAATGTTCAAGAGATTACATACAGAGCTCGAGTACTTCACCAAAGTGCATATACTACATGGATCAGGAGACCCGTGTAAGAAATGGCCACTGGAGTATAAGATACACTAAGGGCGGTTGTGAGTTGTCTTATAAGGTCACTCTGTAGTTGTAAAAGTACCACCGTGAAATTAAGCCATCAAAAAATCATCATAAGTCGACTTTTTTGTAAATAACAAAACATAATAAAGTCGACTTCCATAAATTGATAAAAGTCGACGTTTTGTTTCATCTATAGAGTAGGGTTCTATAAATCGACTTTCGAATAATCGAACAATCGACTTCGACTTTTCGACTTTTTGTCGAAAAAAGTCGAAAAGTCGAAGTCAATTGTTCGATTATTCGAAAGTCGACTATTTTGTTCCAAAAAAGTCGATAACTCGACTATCGTCTGTGAAAAAAGTCGAAAAGTCGACTATAGTTTTTGACTTTTTTCGACAATTTTTTGACTTCTTTCGACTATTTTCGAGTTTTTCCGACTATTTTCGACTTTTTCCGACTATTTTTCCACTTTTTCGAATTTTTTTTCCACTTTTTCGAATTTTCGACTATTTTTTACTTTTTTCTACTATTTTCGAGTTTTCGACTTTTTGACTTTTATTTACAAAGTCGACTTTCGACTTTTTTCATAGACGATTGTCGAGTTATCGACTTTTTTGAAACAAAATAGTCGACTTCGACTTTCGATAAGTCGAAAAGTCGACTTTTAACTAAATGAAAAAAGTCGAAAAGTCGACTATAGTTTTTGACTTTTTTCGACAATTTTTTGACTTCGACTTTCGATAAGTCGAAAAGTCGACTTTTAACTAAATGAAAAAAGTCGAAAAGTCGACTATAGTTTTTGACTTTTTTCGACAATTTTTTGACTTCTTTCGACTATTTTCGAGTTTTTCCGACTATTTTCGACTTTTTCCGACTATTTTTCCACTTTTTCGAATTTTTTTCCACTTTTTCGAATTTTCGACTATTTTTTACTTTTTTCTACTATTTTCGAGTTTTCGACTTTTTCCGACTTTTTGACTTTTATTTACAAAGTCGACTTTTCGACTTTTTTCATAGACGATTGTCGAGTTATCGACTTTTTTGAAACAAAATAGTCGACTTCGACTTTTCGATTATTCGAAAGTCGATTTATAGAACCCTAATATATACACTTCTCACATCCCCCAGGCCTGGGAATGTTACCTTGATTTAACTAGAAAATCTTTCAAGAATGCAAAAACATGACTTTTAAACCGTCTGTATGTTTAAAAATTTTGGTTTTAAATTAGAATTAAAGCTTCCAAACTAGTTAAAAGCATCGTAATATCGAAATAATTCACATTTTTATTTCAAAACAAACACATATAATCGGTAGCTGACAAAAAGGTAAACAAAAGACAGCTGTTCAATTTTGTATAGGATAACACAGGCTGACTAATGTTTAATCCAAAGATAAGAGTATACTTTTCTAAAGGCTTGAGCTAGGTTGAATCCGAATTCGAATCGTCAAAATCCTCAGAATTTCTCTATCACATCTGGTATTCGAGATATCGTGACATGAAGTTTTGACAGGACATATGGAATTTCAGATATGATGAAGAAATTCTGAAATCTGATTCGGATTCGTAGCAGCTCAATCCTTTTGAAAAGTATAACTTGATTTCAGGGTTTTGACTTTTTTCAAAATTTTTAATAGTTTGCAACGAGAGAAAACGTTTACGCGCTTGTTTTCTTCTCCTCTTGAAAGTTTTATGAGTTAATATGAACACTTTTGCAACAACAATTTTTACTAATTAATAAACAACTTTTAGGCGAAGGTGAGTTTTAATAAAAGTTAAAAAGTCGACCATTTCAAAATTGTTAAAAATCAAAAAATAGACTTTTTATAAATTGCCATAATACGGAAAGTCGACTTTTTATAAATTGCAAAAAAATCATAAAGTCGACTTTTCATAATTCTTTCAACTACTGAACCGATAAAGTCGTGCATAGGCTAGCGAATAAACTAGCCAACTAGTACATAGTTTAGAATATACAATACACTAGTCCATAGTCTTGGCAAAAACGTTTATTTCGTAGTTTTCAAGTACTTCAGACCTTTAAGGGATGTATGGTCGGATAGCAATATTGAAAACAAAACAATAAAATTTGTAAAATAGACTTTTAATAGTTCAAAAATTCTATTAAAATAGTTTGAAAACAATCTGTCATACAAATATCACAACTAATCAAATCATAAGGGACTTTACCAGAAAATCTCTTTAACTCTCATTTTCTGTTGAGGTCAAATATTTACTAATATGTATTAATTTTACTTCAAGTATCTAACACATCATTTAATTAAATTTCATACATTTTCTATACACCAAACTTGTTTAAGAACATTAAAACAAAAAACTTAAGAAACAAACTTGTTTTCTTCACAAACATGAAATAAACAAAAGATTTAGGCAAAAAACTTTTTTTTTTGCAAAAAACTTAAACCGAAAATCCTTACAACTGTTTAATTTATTTATATGATTTGTTCAACCAAAAAAATAGAAACAACTTACATTTCTATTAAACCGCCTTTATTGATTTATTAGTGTCAAGAACTCCACATTTAAAGCACAATAGTTTTAATAATAAATCCTCTCAATGCCTGTTAATAAACACATACACACTCTCGCATAAAACACTTACACACTCACACAAGTAAATACCTTTAGAAAAACGTCCTAATTTAACACACAAGTTGACGATAATAATGGGAAGTGATCTTTTCGTTTTCAAAATGTTTGCAAAACCACAACAACAAAAAAACAAGTTCAAAAGTGTTTATCAAATAATAAACAACAACAAAATTTCTATAAGAATTTTTTTCTTTAAGAAAATTATTTCCTTATTTCAACTAAACAAAAAAAGATTTCACTTTTTTATTTGTTTTTTTTAACACAATTTGCTCATTTAAATGTTTATTATCATAATTTCTTTAATTAGTAAATTTTTAATAAAATCACTTTTCTTTTATCTTAATTATTGATATTATTATTTTATTTTTATTTTCATAAAATAATTTATCCTTTTTTTATTATTTGTTTTCTTTAGTAACTACCTTTTTTATTTCGTTTTTATAATTTCAAACTAAAAACACGTTACCAACTCTTTCAGAAATACCCAACCGCGCATTTGAACGTTTTAAACGCAACTGACGTTTAGCAGGCGTCCAACTTGTAATATTATTTAGTTACTCGTATTTGGTAGTTTGGTTTGTTTAGTTGTATGGTCGGTTTTTGCCAGTTTAAGTTTTTTTTTTGGTCTACTAACAAAAAATACTATATTCTCTTCTTCTATTTCTTTTCCGTCATGTGAGTTTTTGTTTTGATTTGAGTTTGAAAAAAAGTTTTGAAAAAAGCTATTTACTAGTAACATGGTTTGGGTCATTTGTTGTTGCTGTTTTTGGTCTATCTTGACATTGCGGTATTGTCTACAAGATATCATTTCCTTGTTGGGCACAACATACACGACAAATATCATCAAATGATCAAATGATTTGTAAATGCATACTTATTGTTTTTACAAAGATCTGTAGATTTTATGGATTTTGTGTTCAATATTTTGGGTACTCTACACCACCAATATTGGATCATATGATTTGCGATAAGTTTTCCAATATTTTCCGATTACCAAATTTAAATCTGACAAAGATTAGACTATACTATAGACTAGAATATTGACTAGAGTATAGACTACACTGTCAATCAGACTATAGAATACACAATAGACTAAACTATAGACTAGACTATAGACTAGACTATAGACTTTACTATAGACTAGACTATAGACTAGACTATAGACTAGACTATAGACTAGACTATAGACTAGACTATAGACTAGACTATAGACTAGACTATAGACTAGACTATAGACTAGACTATAGACTAGACTATAGACTAGACTATAGACTAGACTATAGACTAGACTATAGACTAGACTATAGACTAGACTATAGACTAGACTATAGACTAGACTATAGACTAGACTATAGACTAGACTATAGACTAGACTATAGACTATAGACTAGACTATAGACTAGACTATAGACTAGACTATAGACTAGACTATAGACTAGACTATAGACTAGACTATAGACTAGACTATAGACTAGACTATAGACTAGACTATAGACTAGACTATAGACTAGACTATAGACTAGACTATAGACTAGACTAGAACTATAGACTAGACTATAGACTAGACTAATAGACTAACATAGACTAGACTATAGACTAGACTAGACTATAGACTAGACTATAGACTAGACTATAGACTAGACTATAGACTAGACTATAGACTAGACTATAGACTCGACTATAGACTAGACTATAGACTCGACTATAGACTAGACTATAGACTCGACTATAGACTAGACTATAGACTCGACTATAGACTCGACTATAGACTAGACTATAGACTAGACTATAAGACTAGACTATAGACTAGACTATAGACTCGACTATAGACTAGACTATAGACTAGACTATAGACTAGACTATAGACTAGACTATAGACTAGACTATAGACTAGACTATAGACTAGACTATAGACTAGACTATAGACTAGACTATAGACTAGACTATAGACTAGACTATAGACTAGACTATAGATAGACTATAGACTAGACTATAGACTAGACTATAGACTAGACTATAGACTAGACTATAGACTAGACTATAGACTAGACTATAGACTAGACTATAGACTAGACTATAGACTAGACTATAGACTAGACTATAGACTAGACTATAGACTAGACTATAGACTAGACTATAGACTAGACTATAGACTAGACTATAGACTAGACTATAGACTAGACTATAGACTAGACTATAGACTAGACTATAGACTAGACTATAGACTAGACTATAGACTAGACTATAGACTAGACTATAGACTAGACTATAGACTAGACTATAGACTAGACTATAGACTAGACTATAGACTAGACTATAGACTAGACTATAGACTAGACTATAGACTAGACTATAGACTAGACTATAGACTAGACTATAGACTAGACTATAGACTAGACTATAGACTAGACTATAGACTAGACTATAGACTAGACTATAGACTAGACTATAGACTAGACTATAGACTAGACTATAGACTAGACTATAGACTAGACTATAGACTAGACTATAGACTAGACTATAGACTAGACTATAGACTAGACTATAGACTAGACTATAGACTAGACTATAGACTAGACTATAGACTAGACTATAGACTAGACTATAGACTAGACTATAGACTAGACTATAGACTAGACTATAGACTAGACTATAGACTAGACTATAGACTAGACTATAGACTAGACTATAGACTAGACTATAGACTAGACTATAGACTAGACTATAGACTAGACTATAGACTAGACTATAGACTAGACTATAGACTAGACTATAGACTAGACTATAGACTAGACTATAGACTAGACACAGACTAGACTACAGACTAGACTATAGACTAGACTATAGACTAGACTGTAGACTAGACTGTAGACTAGACTATAGACTAGACTGTAGACTAGACTATAGACTAGACTGTAGACTAGACTATAGACTAGACTGTAGACTAGACTATAGACTAGACTGTAGACTAGACTATAGACTAGACTGTAGACTAGACTATAGACTAGACTATAGACTAGACTATAGACTAGACTATAGACTAGACTGTAGACTAGACTATAGACTAGACTATAGACTAGACTATAGACTAGACTATAGACTAGACTATAGACTAGACTATAGACTAGACTATAGACTAGACTATAGACTAGACTATAGACTAGACTATAGACTAGACTATAGACTAGACTATAGACTAGACTATAGACTAGACTATAGACTAGACTATAGACTAGACTATAGACTAGACTATAGACTAGACTATAGACTAGTCTATAGACTAGACTATAGACTCGACTATAGACTAGACTATAGACTAGACTATAGACTAGAGTCTATAGACTAGTCTAGTCTATATATAGACTATAGACTACTACATAGGTAGACTAAACTAAAGATTAGAATACTGAATAGAGTATTGGCTAGACTATAGGCTACACTATAAACTAAACTAGACTAGTCCATATAATAGACCATAGACTAAACTATACTTAGACTAAACTAAGAATAGACTATTTACTAGACTATGGACTAGAATATAGGGTAAACTATAGATTTAATTATAGGACAGACTAAACTGTAGACTAGACTATACAGTAGTCTATAATCTACAATATAAACTAGATTATATATTAGACTATAGACTACACTATAGAGTAGACTATAGTCTATAATATAAACTAGACTATAGGCTAAACTAGACTAGACTAAAGACTATAGAATACACTATAGACTAAACTATAAAGTAGACTATAGACTACAATATAGTCTAGATTATACTAAAATATAGTCTAGACTATATCTTTTGTTTTGTTTTCTTCAAAAATAAAATCCACAAAATTACTTTCATTAAAACAGACAAAAAGTACCATTATTTAATATTCGTTTTAACCATTTATAATCTGAATACCAACTAATTGTTTTACTATTATTGTGTTACTAATACAAGTCTTACAGGCGCTTAACCGATCATAGCTTTAGACTAGATGATAATTGATTAATAAAATCAACAAGTAATTAAAGTGACACTGAAATTCAGGTTAATAAAATCAATTAAAATTACTTATACAACCTGTAGTGCATAAAAACATCAAAAGCGCAAATTTCACATAGATTTTCATTGCTTTTCTTCCTTATCTTTATTACAAAATCGATTTGGCATTAAAATGCAGATAAATGTCAATAATATGAAAAAAAAAATAACTTACAAACACAGTTAATGCAATTTAAACATAAAATAGAAAACCTCCAAACAACATGAATTTTTAAGCCAACATTTAGGAATGATGAGGAGGTACCATGAGTACTAATGTTTAAAAGGAGTGTTTATGTTATTTTCAATTTTTTAAAGAAAGTTATAAAAAATCTATAAATATGGCGCTACGGAAAAATGTGTCAATCGTTGCAAAAAATTTAAATGATTTTCAAAATCTTTTGATTATTTATTGATTTTATAATCCAATAGTAATCCAAGTAGAGTGGTATTTGAAAGTTTTTAATAAAACACGTACAAAACATACAAAAAAATATATTTACAATTTTTTTCGATATTGTTGTATAGTTTACACATACTGTTGTGTTGATAGCTAAATATATTTTAAATATGAAATTTTCACCACGTACTTTATTTTTGTTTTATATAGTTGGAGTTGGTTGCATAAATTTTTATAAAAATTTAAACTATTAATAGTTTTGATTATAAATATATATGGGTTTAAATAATTTGTGCAACCTTTTGTTATTATGAGTTTATAAAACCTTTAATGTAATAAATTTAAATTTATTTGTGGTTAGATACACAACTTTAAAAAGCCACGTTTCAATCTAATAAACTTGAAAAGTCTTGAAATGGTATAAATTACATACATATAGTTGGTCTAACAAGAATAATGCAATAAATCTTTAAAACAAAAACGAAATTGTATTTCAAAAGATGTGTTTGGCCTGTTGCCAAATTTGAAGAAAATATAAGTTTTTAAACTACCATTGACAATTACTAATTATTTTAGTAGAGTTTTAAAAAATAAAAGTTATTTCGAATACAAACTTTAAACAAATTTCTATATATTAGACTACAGACTAGACTATAGACTACACTGTAGACTACACTGTAGACTAGACTATAGACTAGACTGTAGACTAGACTATAGACTAGACTATAGACTAGACTATAGACTAGAAAATAGACTAGACTATAGACTAGACTATAGACTTAACTATAGACTAGACTATAGACTAGACTATAGACTAGACTATAGACTAGACTATAGACTAGACTATAGACTAGACAATATACTAGACTATAGACTAGACTATAGACTAGACTATAGACTAGACTATAGACTAGACTATAGACTAGACTATAGACTAGACTATAGACTAGACTATAGACTAGACTATAGACTAGACTATAGACTAGACTATAGACTAGACTATAGACTAGACTATAGACTAGACTATAGACTAGACTATAGACTAGACTATAGACTAGACTATAGACTAGACTATAGACTAGACTATAGACTAGACTATAGACTAGACTATAGACTAAGACTATAGACTAGACTATAGACTAGACTATAGACTAGACTATAGACTAGACTATAGACTAGACTATAGACTAGACTATAGACTAGACTATAGACTAGACTATAGACTAGACTATAGACTAGACGATAGACTAGACTATAGACTAGACTATAGACTAGACTATAGACTAGACTATAGACTAGACTATAGACTAGACTATAGACTAGACTATAGAGAACTATAGACTAGACTAGACTAGACTATAGACTAGACTATAGACTAGACTATAGACTAGACTATAGACTAGACTATAGACTAGACTATAGACTAGACTATAGACTAGACTATAGACCTAGACTATAGACTAGACTATAGACTAGACTATAGACTAGACTATAGACTAGACTATAGACTAGACTATAGACTAGACTATAGGACTAGACTATAGACTAGACTATAGACTAGACTATAGACTAGACTATAGACTAGACTATAGACTATCGACTACTAGACTAGACTATAGACTAGACTATAGACTAGACTATAGACTAGACTATAGACTAGACTATAGACTAGACTATAGACTAGACTATAGACTAGACTATAGACTAGACTATAGACTAGACTATAGACTAGACTATAGACTAGACTATAGACTAGACTATAGACTAGACTATAGACTAGACTATAGACTAGACTATAGACTAGACTATAGACTAGACTATAGACTAGACTATAGACTAGACTATAGACTAGACTATAGACTAGACTATAGACTAGACTATAGACTAGACTATAGACTAGACTATAGACTAGACTATAGACTAGACTATAGACTAGACTATAGACTAGACTATAGACTAGACTATAGACTAGACTATAGACTAGACTATAGACTAGACTATAGACTAGACTATAGACTAGACTATAGACTAGACTATAGACTAGACTATAGACTAGACTATAGACTAGACTATAGACTAGACTATAGACTAGACTATAGACTAGACTATAGATAGACTAGACTATAGACTAGACTATAGACTAGACTATAGACTAGACTATAGACTAGACTATAGACTAGACTATAGACTAGACTATAGACTAGACTATAGACTAGACTATAGACTAGACTATAGACTAGACTATAGACTAGACTATAGACTAGACTATAGACTAGACTATAGACTAGACTATAGACTAACTATAGACTAGACTATAGACTAGACTATAGACTAGACTATAGACTAGACTATAGACTAGACTATAGACTAGACTATAGACTAGACTATAGACTAGACTATAGACTAGACTATAGACTAGACTATAGACTAGACTATAGACTAGACTATAGACTAGACTATAGACTAGACTATAGACTAGACTATAGACTAGACTATAGACTAGACTATAGACTAGACTATAGACTAGACTATAGACTAGACTATAGACTAGACTATAGACTAGACTATAGACTAGACTATAGACTAGACTATAGACTAGACTATAGACTAGACTATAGACTAGACATACTAGACTATAGACTAGACTATAGACTAGACCTATAGACTAGACCATAGACTAGACTATAGACTAGACTATAGACTAGACTATAGACTAGACTATAGACTAGACTATAGACTAGACTATAGACTAGACTATAGACTAGACTATAGACTAGACTATAGACTAGACTATAGACTAGACTATAGACTAGACTATAGACTAGACTATAGACTAGACTATAGACTAGACTATAGACTAGACTATAAGACTATAGACTACTATAGACTAGACTATAGACTATATTATAGAGTATAGTAGCTATAGACTAGACAATAGACTAGGCTATTGACTAGGCTAAAAATCAGACTATAGTCTAAACTATAGACTAGAATATATACTAAAGACTAGACTATAGCCTAGGACATCCCATTTTTGTAAATTTTCAAAACTTTTATATTCCCTACACCACAATAGTGGGTATTTGATGAAATTTAACGTATGCTCTTAGCTTAACCCAATGACGAACCCTATTGAAATTTGTTGAAATCGATCTAGGGCTTTGTAGCTCATAATTATGTTAAAAGTTCCAATATCTCTAAAAAAAACGGCACAACTTAGTTTTGCACAAGGCTTAATGATACGGCCGATTTTCGTAATGTTCAAGCCTCATTTGGACCAAGCCCCGTACTAAGTCGCTTTCAGAATTAGACTTGAAAGTAAATAATTATTTAAAAAGACCGGAACCACAATAAAATTCTGCATAAATAACTTTATTTAACAAAATTTATGAGGATATACCAACATTTAAATCTTGTCTCCATCAGGAAATCACTTTTTATCAATAAATTCTTCCACTGTGCGAAATTACTTTTTGTTAACACAGAAAAATTTAAATTTAAATTATATAATTTAACCCACTGTGCTTAACGTACAATTTCTGTTTATTTTCCAATATAGTACTAAATTTTACCACCTCTAACAACTGGTACTACCTACTACTTTTTTAATGCAACCCTGACTAATAACAACAAAAATTTGTTTTTCTACGCATTTTTATTTCATTTTTACACAAAAACAAAGTTCGTGTAAAACAAGTGCAAGGTTTATTATTTTTTATTGCATAAAAGGATAAATATAAAATAAACAACTTAAAATTATAAAAACACTAGACGAGAGAAGAATCTTAGATATAACTTTTGCACCAAGTAGTGTATAGAATTGTTAACCCTTTAGAAAGGCCAATAACAATGAACAAAAAACAACCTTTAATGGAAAACTAAAACAACAACAAAAGAAATGACTAATTAGTATTTAAAAAACAAATAAAATTTAATAATATAGAAGTAATTATCAAGGGGAATTAGGCAACAACAACAAATTTGAACTTTTTGTAATAAAAGGGAACAACCCGTTTTGGTATATAGTACAGCCAGCCAATAACAACCACCTGTCTTTTCTTTAATTTTAAAGTGCCATTTGGAAAAATATAACACAAATACTATTTAAATATAATAAATACTATTCAAATAATTATAATTGTTAACAATTTATAATTTAACGAAACATTTTGTGGCAGTTAAATTGCTTACATTGCCTGGTGATCTCATTCGTTAAGAATTCTTTTTTAAGGACATCATGACAGCACGTAATCCTCAAACTTTAATGGCTCTGCCGAGCGATGAAAGTTTTGATTTTCTTTTTAAAGTTGTTCTAATTGGTGATGCTGGCACTGGCAAAACCTGTATAGTGGAACGTTTTAAAACGGGCAATTTTATAGAACGTCATGGTAATACTATTGGTGTGGATTTCTCCATGAAAACCATTAACATAGAAGGAAAGTTGGTAAAGGTAAGCAAAAGAAATTTAAATGTATGAAGATTGCAGTTTCTTATGAATGGTTTTACTTTCAGTTACAAATTTGGGACACTGCTGGCCAGGAACGTTTTCGTACCATAACCCAAAGTTATTATCGTTCAGCAAATGGTGTAATTTTAGGTATGTTTAGACGTCATTTCATAAATGTTAAGAAAAAACGCCCATAATTTGCATTTTTGCTTTTTTTACACATTTCGTATAGTTTGTTATACTTTTGGGATAATTATTATGACTTTTACTTGGTGCTTGTGGCTTTACGCCGTAGTTGCAACACAAATATTTGCATTTTAATATAATAATTAGGGCAATCACAGCATGATATTTAAATTAAGATTTCAAATTAAATGGTTAAATTGAAACAAAAAATAAAGTTTAAACTTAGTGGAATAATCGAAAATAGTGTAGAACTCCCACGACAATCGGTTCTTCACTCCGGAGCGAGTCGGATTTCATAGATAGATAGATAGATAGATAGATAGATAGATAGATAGATAGATAGATAGATAGATAGATAGATAGATAGATAGATAGATAGATAGATCGATAGCTAGATAGATAGATCGATAGATAGATAGATAGATAGATAGATCGATCGATAGATAGATAGATAGATAGATCGCTAGCTCGCTCGCTACGCTCGCTCGCTCGCTCGCTCGCTCGCTCGCTCGCTCGCTCGCTCGCTCGCTCGCTCGCTCGCTCGCTCGCTCGCTCGCTCGCTCGCTCCTCGCTCGCTCGCTCGCTCGCTCGCTCGCTCGCTAGCTCGCTCGCTCGCTCGCTCGCTCGCTCGCTCGCTCGCTCGCTCGCTCCTCGCTCGCTCGCTCGCTCGCTCGCTCGCTCGCTCGCTCGCTCGCTCGCTCGCTCGCTCGCTCGCTCGCTCGCTCGCTCGCTCGCTCGCTCGCTCGCTCGCTCGCTCGCTCGCTCGCTCGCTGCTCGCTCGCTCGCTCGCTCGCTCGCTCGCTCGCTCGCTCGCTCGCTCGCTCGCTCGCTCGCTCGCTCGCTCGCTCGCTCGCTCGCTCGCTCGCTCGCTCGCTCGCTCGCTCGCTCGCTCGCTCGCTGCTCGCTCGCTCGCTAGCTCGCTCGCTCGCTCGCTCGCTCGCTCGCTCGCTGCTCGCTCGCTCGCTCGCTCGCTCGCTCGCTCGCTCGCTCGCTCGCTCGCTCGCTCGCTCGCTCGCTCGCTCGCTCTCGCTCGCTCGCTCGCTCGCTCGCTCGCTCGCTCGCTCGCTCGCTCGCTCGCTCGCTCGCTCGCTCGCTCGCTGCTCGCTCGCTCGCTCGCTCGCTCGCTCGCTCCTCGCTCGCTCGCTCGCTCGCTCGCTCGCTCGCTCGCTCGCTCGGTCGCTCGCTCGTTCGCTCGGTCGCTCGCTCGCTCGCTCGCTCGCTCGCTCGCTCGCTCGCTCGCTCGCTCGCTCGCTCGCTCGCTCGCTCGCTCGCTCGCTCGCTCGCTCGCTCGCTCGCTCGCTCGCTCGCTCGCTCGCTCGCTCGCTCGCTCGCTCGCTCGCTCGCTCTCTCGCTCGCTCTCTGCTCGCTCGCTCGCTCGCTCGCTCGCTCGCTCGCTCGCTCGCTCGCTCGCTCGCTCGCTCGCTCGCTCGCTCGCTCGCTCGCTCGCTCGCTGGCCCGCTCGCTCGCTCGCTCGCTCGCTCGCTCGCTCGCTCGCTCGCTCGCTCGTTGCGACACATAGTTACCGCACCTCTTAAACTCTTGTGGACCGCTCCACAACTGACCCAAAACTCTTGTCGTATATAACATTTTCCATAAAAGATTTTTTCTAACACACTTTTTCCCTTATATTTTTCTTACAGTTTACGACATTACCAGCCGCGAATCTTTTAGTAATCTCCAAAAATGGATAGAAGAGGTACGTCGCTATACTGCCTCCAATGTTATGTTAATAGTTGTAGGCAATAAAAGTGACTTAGAGGACGAACGTGAAGTGGAATTCGAAGAAGCTCAACAAATGTGCCAGTATATACCGGAAGTGTTGTTAGTAATGGAAACCTCAGCCAAGGAGAATCGTAATGTCGATGATGCTTTTGTAACATTGGCCAGTGAATTGAAAAGACGCATAGATACCAGTATAAGGCAAGAAGAGAATGCCGATGATGAGGCCATTAAATTGGGTCACAGTAAACCTTTGAGGCAGTGTAGTAGTTCTTGTAATTTAACGTAAAATATGTCGTTAATCTCAAATTTAAGACTCGTAATTGTTTTTAAAAAAGATAAAATGTGATTTATTTAGTTTGTTTTATTTGTATTTTTTTTCTGTTTATTTGTTTTGTTTCTTGCAGTCTATTTTAAGTTAATTATTATTTAATTTTGTTTCAGCGTGAGTGAGTTTGGTTTAAATCTTATTACAGATTTTTTACGTTTATATTTTTAATTACAAATATAACAAATGGTACAAATGTTAATAAAATTTGTATTTAAATTTTAGGGTCAATTAGTGATTTTTTTAAGTTTTTTATTATTTTAATATCATTTGATTGATTTTTTTTTTAATTTAAAATAAATCTAACATCACTTTCCATTAAAACAAACGTCCTTTTATAGATTTGTAGTATACTACGTTTTAATAAATTATTTAAAATAAATATTTAATAAAAAATTCGAATAATTAAAGATCTTTCTTTTTTTGAGGGTATTTAGAAAAACGGGGGTTTAAGAAATTTTATGCACTTTAAGTAACCGGATTTCTAGAATTTCAAATCGTTATAACTATTATGCTAAAACTGATTGTGAACCCATACTGATGTATGAAGAAATTTTTTTATATTTTCTTTTTACTATACTATTAAAAAAAGGCCTCATTTAGTTAATTTTTAAAGCATTTATTTTTAAGAATATCAAATAAAACACAATCCAACACAAAAAACATAACTTGTAATTTGTATAAAAAATTTGTTTAGCTTATAATCCAGTTAATTTTATAAAGAATAAATTGAAACTAAAAATAATTCCTTTATATTTACACTTATTAACTTATTAATAATAATAATTACTTTTTAGTTATTTTAGCTTTTTTACTTTTACGTACATGCCGATTCGTATCTTTTGCTTTGCCATTGCCAGCAGACGAACTCGTAAGATCATAACGAAATATTATACAACGACGATCGAAAAATATTTTAAGATCCTAAAAGAAATAAATAAGTTTATAATTAATAAATTAAAATACTAGGGAGTAAATGTTTAAAACGATTTGAAATGACCCATTGAACTTTCCTTTCAATTTGGATTTAAAATAACTCTCTCGAATAATAATTACCTTGGGATCATAGCGATAACCTAATGATTTTAAAAACAAATAGATTTCCTGTAGATCAATGGGTTCATACATCAATATAGTTTCATGCAATTTGGGATTCGAACACACCAAGTTGTACCACGCTATGTGAAAGGGTAATAAAGGCTGAGGAGTCTGAAAAATAAATAATTTTTATTTAAATTAATAATAAGTTCTAAATACTTAAATAAATATGCATTTAGTTATATATATAAACTTTACCTTTGTTACATCTACAGGGCCTTTTCAGGAAATATTATTAAAATATCAAAACAAACTTTCACTTTATCCATAAATAAGTTTTTTTTTTTTAATATTTCGAAATTTTTCGTTAAAAAGTTCAGCGTACTCAAAAAGTTGCGAATATATTCCTGAGCATTCTCAGAAACTTTTACTCTTTAATTAATCATGTCTGTTTAAGTTTATCAATCAATCAATCAATCAATCTATCTATCTATCTATCTATCTATCTATCTATCTATCTATCTATCTATCTATCTATCTATCTATCTATCTATCTATCTATCTATCTATCTATCTATCTATCTTTTTTTTCTTTTTCATTTATTTATTTATTGAAATTTCTATCTATCTATCTATCTATCTATCTATCTATCTATCTATCTATCTATCTATCTATCTATCTATCTATCTATCTATCTATCTATCTATCTATCTATCTATCTATCTATCTATCTATCTATCTATCTATCTATCTATCTATCTATCTATCTATCTATCTATCTATCTATCTATCTATCTATCTATCTATCTTTCTATCTTTCTATCTATCTATCTATCTATCTATCTATCTATCTATCTATCTATCTATCTATCTATCTATCTATCTATCTATCTATCTATCTATCTATCTATCTATCTATCCATGTATCTATCTATCTATCTATCTATCTATCTATCTATCTATCTATCCATGTATCATATCTATCTATCTATCTATCTATCTATCTATCTATCTATATATCTATCTATCTATCTATCTATCTATCTATCTATCTATCTATCTATCTATCTATCTATCTATCTGTCTATCTATCTATCTATCTATCTATCTATCTACATATCTATCTATCTATCTATCTATCTATCTATATATATATATATATATATATATATATATATATATATATATATATATATATATATATATATATATATATATATATATATATATATATATATATATATATATATATATATATATATATATATATATATATATATATATATATATATATATCTATCTATCTATCTATCTATCTATCTATCTATCTACCTATCTATCTATCTATCTATCTATCTATCTATCTACCTATCTATCTATCTATCTATCTATCTATCTATCTACATGTATTCCTATGTTCATTTAGTCAATATTGGGCGTGGAACCTCCCTAGAAACATAGTTTCCTAATATCTGTCAAGGTTTATAGTGGAAATTGATAGTTATTATCGGTTGACCCACCTATTTCAAGTGTTAACCATCTCTTATAAATTATAAAAATAAACACAATTATATCTCTAGAAACATAGTGTCTTAATATTTGCAATATTATGTCATGGTTTATAATGGACATAGATAGTTATTATCGGTTGATCCACCTTATTCAAGTGTCAACCATTACCATTCTATTATCTATATATATAAAAATGAATGTGTGTATGTTTGTATGTTTGAACGTTATAGACTACTAAACGACTGAACCAATTTTATTCAAATTTTCACAGCATATTCCTGTATGTCTGGAATAGGTAATAGGCTACTTTTTATTTTGAAATTCCAAGTGGGCGAGGAGCCACGCCCATATTAAGAAAATATTAAATCCGTATATTTTAAATAATATAACAGTTAGAGTCCTCAAATTTTGTCGGAGCAACTTTAGTGTCAATATAATTATTTAGGACAAAAAGTAGGCGGACTAACATTAGAAGGCGTGGCACCTCACATATAAATTAAATACAAAAATACGTTTATCTTGGAAACTATTACAGTTAGAATCTTTAAATTTTGCACGAATAACTTTAACATCCATCTAAACATTTTGGGTAATAAATTGGTGGACTACCCTTGAGGGGAGCGGCTCCACCCAAATTAATTAAAGACAAAAATTCGTTTATCTGGAAAACTAATAGAACTAAATTCTTCAAATTTTGTACGAAAAACTTAAATATTCATCTAAACATTTTGGAGGAAAAAAAACGGATTTTCATCTGGGGGGTCTGCAAGCCCCCATACGAATCAAATAGAAAAATTCGTATATCTGAGAAACTATTGGAGCTAGAATCTTCAAATTTTACATGAAGAACTTTGAAATTCATGTGAACATTTAGAGCATAACGGGCGGACTTTCAATGGGTGGCTTGAATACAAAAATTTCGTGCATCTTGAAAACTCTTATATTATTAAATTCTTTTATAAATAATTAGAAATTGGCGATAGATAGAAACTGTCGAACTTGCAATAATTTGTTTGACATCTCTCATATGTAACATATTATAAATCTGGAAAACTATTGTAGTAAGGATCTTCAAAATCGTTAAGTGGGATTTTTATTTATACATATTCCTTTTAGGGTAGCAAAGCACACTGGGTATAGCTAGTAAATTATAAAAATAAAAGAAAATCCACTTACCTTTTTCGTAACATTCGTCTGCATTATATACTGTTCATTCAAAAGTTCAGCTTTCAGATCTAAAGAATAGCGTAACATTTCTCGACCGCAAGCATCTTGAAGATTAAGCTTTTTATTCCCCACATCCAGCACATTTTCAACTACTTCCCTGGGACTTTCATTAGATAAAATAACGGAACGATCGCGTGCTTTTGTTACAGCTGTTTTAGTTTTCAAAGCCTCTTTTGAAGTACAAGGCCGATCCAAGTCTTCTAGAGTAATAACATCTTCTTGTGGTTGTATCTCATCCGCATCTTCATCATCCATTAAAATAGGATGAGTTTGATTGTAAATATATTCCAACATTTTTACGGCCTGTTTACGTTTTAAAGGTTTTATGCCAAAATTATACAATTCCTTAAGTAATTCTGCTTCCGTGTATTTCATATAGTCCGGCTTAGGTGAGGAAGTATAACGCACTGTATAAGTTTTATTATTATAGGTAATTATTTGCTTAGTTGTGTTAACTTCTGGAACAGGAGATTTTTGACTTTCTTTCAAACTTATTTCAGCGGTCAAAAGTTGTTGTATACCCTGAGGAGGTTTTTTGGCTGATGTTAAAGACTTGAGAGGGCTTGTATAGACCAAACGATCGAATTCATCAAAATCATTAAGATCATTCAAAGGAGATTTTCCTTTAGAAATATTCAAATCATTGGTAGGCGATTTCGCTTCCAGATTGTTTATTAAATCTTGAAATTTTTGTGTAGATTTATGACAATTACTATAACGTTTCATGGGAGCTGTGGTTTCAGTGGGAGAACTAAGAAACGAGGCTTCTGTTAAAACTTTTGTGGGCGTACAAAGATTGGGTGTATAATCTATAGGTTCCGAATATTCTTCTAATATGCCAAAATCACTGCGTTCAAATTTCATATCATCTTGTAAAGGAGGTGTTTTGGGGGCAGTGTATTTAGAGGTCAAAACACCAAAATCACTATATGACTCTTCAGCTGTTAGGGCAACTTTTATTAAAGATTTATCTTTATCCTTTAAATCCAAATATGAAGAATTTTTTATATCATTAACTTTATCGGGAAATTCAATAATTTTCTCTTTATTAGAATCTAGCAAATCTTCATCACTTGTATTATCATTATCGGGTATACTAATGACGTCATCATCATCATTATCTTCCTGTTCTGATGCTTCGGAGGTGTGAAATTTTCCAGTTTTATTGGCCTGCCAAATGGAATAGTTAATTTCATCATCGGATAATACTAAACAATCATCTTCTTCATTATCTTCTGCTTCTGGTTGTAAATCTTCATTATCATCTTCTGCTTCATTTTGGGTTAAATCTATGAGATTTTCTATTTTACTTCTGTTAAATGATTGAGATTTGCTTAGATATTTGGGTGGAGTTTTAGCAGTAAATGAGGAGGATTTTCTTTTCGATGTTAGATTGTTGTCAGTAGTCACATCAAAATCCATGGTAAAGTTGGTATATTTATCATACTTTTCAGGTGTTTGAATGGTAGGTAAAATTTGTGTAAAACTTTTGGTTTTATTAAAATCAGTCTTTTGTAACTTTTTAGAAGTGTTATGGGGTTCATTTAGATATTTATTACACAATTCCCGAAACATAGTATCATTAGCTGTTAAACTATCTTTAATAAGTTCTTTTTCCTTTATGGTGATATCTTTGGTTTTACTTGTAATACGTTCATCTTCCTTAGTGGTGGCCGTTTCTTTGTGAAAACATGTTTCCAATTGTTTAGAACCTTGAAAGTTAAGAAAGGAAGTATTTGTTTGATCCATAGCTATTTCCTGCAAAACAATATCATCATCATCCTCATATAGGTTTTTATTTGTTGCAAATTCCCTTAAAGGTTCTTGTGTATCCAAACTGAGCGTTAACTTGAAGCATTCTTCTTTCTGATTCTTTTTTAAACAAGTTACTTCATTGTCACTTATTTCTAAGGACAATTTAAAAGATTCTTCTTTTGATTTCTTTTCCATGAAATTATCTTCTTCATTATCACTTATATCCAGGGTAAATTTTAAAGATTCTTCCTGCTGATTCTGTTCTATTAAAATATCTTCACTCTCACTAGTTTCCAAAGAAAATTTAAAAGATTCTTCTTTAGTTGTATTCTCTTTAAAGTTGTCTTCTGTTGTTAGTGACAATTCGAAAGTTTCTTCTTTGGATTTCTTTTCCAATAACGATTTTTCTTTCTTTTTCGTTTCTAAAGGAAACTTTAAAGATTCTTTATGTTTCTTTTCTTTGAAATTGTTCTCATTTTCATTCGTCTCCATGCTGAGAGTAAATTTAAAAGTTTCTTCCTTGTTTTCTTGCAGATATTTTGATATTTGAGAATTTTTATTAATATCCGACAAACCATGATCTTGTTTATCGTATTGTAAAGGTGATTCAGTGAAATCTATATCTTCATCTTGGGAGGGTGAATCAGCAAATAAATCGATTTCTACTATAGGTTTACTTTGATTTAAATTATGATTGGATTGATTTTCGGGGGAGGAAGATAAATCGTATTGGGTTAAATCGATTACTTCATCATCACAGGATAAGGGAATGTTGGAAATGGAGGGAGCTGAAAGTAAAAAACATAGAACATGATTTGTTATGTTTTATAAATTTCTAATTGCAGAACAGGAAAATACAAAAGCATAATAACATCACTACTTATTCTAGTTTGCGTGGAAAAGTTTGAAATTGCCACCATCAGAACTAGTTCCGCATAAGTTCTAGAAAAGCATAACAGTTCTAGATAGCGTAATAATATATATCAGAATATTCTAAACATATTCCTCACTTACCTTTTACAGTTGATTTATTCTGCTCCAATAATGAAGTATTCTTTACTAAACAAAAATTAAATAAAAATTAAGTAATTCATAATAAAAAGTTTAGATTTTTTTCAAAACTAAATAGATTTGCAAATCCATTTAAATTTGTTTAGTATTTTGATAAAACTGCAAATCTAATTAGTTATGTAATTCAAATAAAAAAATATCTAAAGTTTACCTTCATCACTTGAAAAGATTTCATAAGTAGTAACGCCTGCATCTACCTCCTCTAGGGAACTATTACGACTTTTATCTTTAGTCACATTTATCACAGTTTGAACTAAACAAAATTACAGATATTATTAAAAAAACAAATCTCTCTTTTAAAATATATAGAATACCTTCTGTTTTATCACTCTCATCCTTGTTATAACACTCTTCCATTTCAACATCGGAGTCGGCAAATAAATCGGGCGAGTTAGATCTAGTATTTTGTGTTGCATTTATTGGGGTCTGGTTACTTGTACTAGAGATTTGTGTTGCATGCAAGGATCTTTCTTCTGCCGCTTTCGAAGTATGATGTTTTCCTGTATTTTCGATATCCTCTTCATTTTTTAAGTTTACCCTTTCATCAAGTTCGACATTACATGAATCATTAGATATTTCAAGAGCATTGTCTCCAAGTTCTGTTTGTGCTGCAGAATCTTCTTTTTGTTGATGCGCACTTGGCCTTGCAACTAAGGATGTTGTAGTTGTTGAAGTCTTTGAAACATAATTAACACATGTTTCAGTAGCTTTAGGATAAGTTACTGATTCATTTCTTTGCATATCTTCTATTAAATTTACCATTTCATCAAGTTCATCGTTATTTGATTTCTCAGGTAATTCTACAGTTTTATTGCCAGGTTCTGTTTCAGCTAAAGTTTCTTCCTTTTTTGTAGTATTTATAGTAGCCTGGGTATTTATGCTACAACTAGATACATGCATTACATCTAAACATGTAGTTGGGGGCAAAAGTTTTAGAATTTTAGCCTTATCTGTAGTGTTAGCAATGTCATCTGCCTTTATATCAATATTTTCCATAATTTCAGTACATTCAGTTTGTTCTTTTACTTCTTCATTTTTAGTTTCCTCCTTATCTTGTATTTTCAACAGCTCCTGATCTTCTTTGTTTTCATTATCCTTAGACCAATCCAATCTTTTTCTTGAACTAAAACATTCTTCCAAATCTTTATAAATATTTTGCAATTTTTGTAACGACTCTTTATTTGTTTTAGTTTTTGGATTCGGTGTTAGATCTCTACCCTGTATGGCAGTCCAATCCTTTAGTAAATGTCCCGCTGCTAAATTATTGATTTCAAATAATTCCTTAACAAAATAATTATCAATTGATTGATTAACATTTTCCGTACATTGTAAAATCTTAATATTTTCATGCATATTTAATTTTTTCAGTAAAGAACTTTGCAGTTTGTAAAGTGGTTGTAAAGATTCTTGATCGGTCAGGGGTTTAGTGCGAAATTGACTATTTAACAGTTTTTCGATATTTTCTTGTAATTTTTTTAATTGATTCTCGGGAGTTCTTAAAGTGAGGGCAGTAAATTTATTGGCCCATTTGTTTTTCTGGCGACGGCCATTGTTTTTGGGTAGAAAGGCGGCCGCAAAGGTGTTGTAATCTAGGGGAAATTTTATAATTATAATAAATTAAATAAAAGAGAAAATTGTTTTAGCAGATTTTTTGTGAAAAAGGAAATTATAAAATTGTTAGTGAAATTTATAGAAAATCTAATCAGGGCACAAATTATAGTTATAGAGTAAAATTGGTCGCAATTCTCCTTTCTTCGCAGGCATGGAAAATGGAAGACTATAGACTAGACTATAGACTAGACTATAGACTAGACTATAGACTAGACTATAGACTAGACTATAGACTAGACTATAGACTAGACTATAGACTAGACTATAGACTAGACTATAGACTAGACTATAGACTAGACTAGACTAGACTAGACTAGACTATAGACTAGACTATAGACTAGACTATAGACTAGACTATAGACTAGACTATAGACTAGACTATAGACTAGACTATAGACTAGACTATAGACTAGACTATAGACTAGACTATAGACTAGACTATAGACTAGACTATAGACTAGACTATAGACTAGACTATAGACTAGACTATAGACTATAGACTAGACTATAGACTAGACTATAGACTAGACTATAGACTAGACTATAGACTAGACTATAGACTAGACTATAGACTAGACTATAGACTAGACTATAGACTAGACTATAGACTAGACTATAGACTAGACTATAGACTAGACTATAGACTAGACTATAGACTAGACTATAGACTAGACTATAGACTAGACTATAGACTAGACTATAGACTAGACTATAGACTAGACTATAGACTAGACTATAGACTAGACTATAGACTAGACTATAGACTAGACTATAGACTAGACTATAGACTAGACTATAGACTAGACTATAGACTAGACTATAGACTAGACTATAGACTAGACTATAGACTAGACTATAGACTAGACTATAGACTAGACTATAGACTAGACTATAGACTAGATTATAGACTAGACTATAGACTAGACTATAGACTAGATTATAGACTAGACTATAGACTAGACTATAGCCTAGACTATAGACTAGACTATAGCCTAGACTAGACTATAGACTAGACAATAGACTAGACTATAGACTAGACTATAGACTAGACTATAGACTAGATTATAGACTAGACTATAGACTAGACTATAGCCTAGACTATAGACTAGACTATAGACTAGACTATAGCCTAGACTATAGACTAGACTATAGACTAGACTATAGCCTAGACTATAGACTAGACTATAAAAAGTTTATAAGTTTAAAAAAGTACCGAAAATGTACTTTTTTTACTTTCTCTTACCATTCTTTTCCGCCGTTCTAAAACCATACTTTTTTAATTTTTCCCTTATAGATTCTGCACTGTTATTTCCCTCCACCAAATTAACTTCCTCCTCCAATTCGTTAGCCATCGTAATACCTTTACTCTCTGCTTCAGACTGGGAAATAGCTAAAGCCAATTGTACATCGTCACCATCAAACTGATCGGCAGCACAATGTTGAGCAGCTATCTCAGCAAATAATTGTTCATTTCTTAAGAAAGCGGATTTAATGGTAGTTTGTTTCTTTCTTGTTTTAGCTTTTGCTTGGCTGCTACTTAATGTTAGTTTTGGAGCCTTTTTGGCTTTCTTTTCTGGTACCACTAAATCTTCATCATTTAGAGGAGTTTTAGGATTTTTAATCAGATCAGGGATGTCATTGGGATCTTTGAATATAAAATTATCTAATTTAGTACGTTTGCCACGTTTGCGTGTTGCTGGTTTTGTTGAAGTATTAGAGGATTGTGGTAGATCTTCATTGGCTTTATTAAAATCTAATACTATTGCAGAATCCTTAGGCGGGACAGTGGTTTCTTCTTTTTCATTATCTTTCGAACATTTTTCGGGTGTTAAAAAATAATTGGTAATGGCAGTATTTCCCGAGGTCTTGGCCGTTTGGCGTGTTTTACTTAAAATAAACAATTTAAAAGTCTTCATAGTTTTTTAAACTTACAACATTTATTTTATATAATTAACTCAAAACTACATTGTAAAAAGATTTGTACAACTACTAGGAAGAAGTTAAGAGAGAAGAAACTTTAAAACTTTACCGTGGTTGCTTGGTGCCCGATGTACTGGGTAATTGCAATTTCTTTAAATTGGCTTTACGGGTTTGACGATCCATTCTAACGTTCATGCAATAGTTGATTTTTCTCCTCTATAGTTTCTTTAATAGCTCTCGATGTACGAGGAGCGCCTACTAAATTGAAAATAATTTTACGATCCTTTTCTTCCTCAGAGGCGGTTATCAAATCGTGCATTAATTTTTCATTCGCTATACGGAAAATGGGAGTGAAACTGAAAAAATAAATTTTTATTTATTATTTTATTTAACAAAATATATAAAATTATGAAAAAACTTACTACCACAAGGCAAATATTGCACTTCCCACTGCAATACCAGCTGCCGCAAAACGATTTCTATAGTGGTAAGATGGTGTGCCTTTAGTGCGTCTGGGTTTACGTTTGGCCTCATCAATTTGTTCCATAACTCGTGCACTAAATTTGTTTATACTACTTTACAAGAATTTAATTTATTATATAATTTTAAAACATGTTAAAAAACTTGTGGAATAAAATAAATTCTTTAAAAAGACGACTTGTAATGAAATTGAAAGGTAAACAAAACAGAGTTGTTCAAATAATGTTTAAACACAAGGCTGGTTAAAAATGTAGCAACAAGAGGGTGTGTCATAAAAGTATTAAAGTTAAAAAACTGTTAGCAGTGAAAAAAGTAACAAATAAATGTTTATCAAAAATTCAGTTTTATTCCTACCATAGATTTATATTTAAAGTTTTATTATTTGTTGCACTAAATATATATATTTCAATAGTGTGTTTTCATTTTACTTTCTCCAAAACAATTATTTCTTACACACCCTGTTGCTAAGAATTTACCGGAAGATTCATGACAATCAGCTGACTGCAACTTCACCAACCAACTTAATTTCACCACGGTTCATTAAAAATTGTTCATATTTTATAAAAACACACACAATTTATCGTAATTTCTTGATCCAATGTGTTCAATAAATAAATTTCACAATTCAACTAAACTCCTTTTTAATCAATGAAAACCGCAAGTTGCGAAATTCAAAATTATTAAAATACCTAAGGAAATAGTAAAATAATTGAAATAACGACGAGACGATAAAAACTCAAACGCAACAAACATGTCACGTCACAGAATTGTACGGACCATGGACTACAACGACGAATACGACGGCTATGATGATGTCTATGGTCATTCCGTCGATGATGACAATTGTATTTCACCGACAGATGCACAACAATGGCTGTATGATCGGGCACGAGGTCAGAATTCGATGTCTGCATTTATGAGAGACAATAAAGACATAGCTGAGGAAGAAGAGGAGGGGGAGGAAGATGCTGACAAATCTTATGACAAAACACGGCGAGATTCGGATAATTTTCAAATGCCTGTTTTGAATGATATGGAACAGGCCCAATTGACTTCCTGTATTGATGAGGTGCGCAGTGTGGTGGGCGATACAGTGTCCGAGAAGCGTATAGTGGAAACATCGATTAAATTTAGTTATGACATAAACAAAATTTTGGATGAAATTCTAAATGATGAATGTGAAAATAAGGCCAAGAGAATACAACAAGAGGTTTCAAATCTTCAACCCAAGGGACCCGGACCACGTAAACTGGCCATGGGGGACATGGATAAATCTTCCGGCTCCGTGCCCATAGTAAAAGTGACCGCAGCTCAGGGTGAGGTAAAGAGAGGTTTTGATATTAGTTCTCCCTTACTGCAAAGTTCACCGGCCGCCTCGGGCCGTAATACTCCTGTAGATATTAGTGAGGATTCGGCCAAAAAATTGCCAACAGATGCAGCGTCAGTCTTTAAAGTTTCTAAAGAACAAGCACAACGAGATAATAAACAACTGTACAGCAAGGAACGTTCTGATCAAAAACATCATTTCCATATGATTGTCATTGGTCATGTGGATGCGGGCAAAAGTACTCTTATGGGTCATTTACTATTCGATACGGGAAATGTATCGCAGAGAGTAATGCACAAACACGAACAGGAATCGAAGAAAATGGGTAAACAGAGTTTTATGTATGCTTGGGTTCTCGATGAAACTGGGGAGGAGAGAGCAAGAGGTAAGATGGTGGGAAAATGTTAAAACTATACTAAATTTGAATATAGACTTGATTAATACTAGACTATAAACAAGACTACATTATAGACTATAGACTACACCAAAGAAAGGACTATAGTCTAGAATTTAGATTGGACTATAGTCTAGACTAGACTATATTTTTATAAATTTTAAAGTAAAATTATCTATTTCCAAGTTTTTAATAACAGTTCTTATTTTTCGGTAATTTCTCACCGCAGGTATTACGATGGATGTTGGACATTTTCGTTTTGAGACTGACAGCAAAGTGATAACCTTACTAGATGCTCCCGGCCACAAAGATTTTATACCCAACATGATATCGGGTGCAACACAAGCTGATGTTGCTCTATTAGTAATCGATGCAACAAGAGGAGAATTTGAATCGGGTTTCGATTTAGGTGGTCAAACTAGAGAACATGCTCTGCTAGTACGTTCTCTAGGCGTTAATCAATTGGGTGTGGTAATTAATAAACTCGATACAGTGGGTTGGTCTAAAGAACGTTTCGATGAGATAGTGCAAAAACTAAAAGGGTTCCTAAAACAAGCCGGCTTCAAAGATTCAGACGTTTCGTATACTCCCTGTTCGGGTCTAACTGGGGAAAATTTAACTAAACCCTCTACCGAGGAGGCTTTAACCTCTTGGTATAAAGGACCCCATTTGCTAGCCGTCATAGATAGTTTTAAAATACCCGAACGTTCAATAGATAAACCTTTTCGCATGTCAGTGTCAGATATTTATAAAGGTACCGGTGCTGGTTTTTGTATTTCCGGTCGCATAGAGACTGGTGTTTTGGCTGTCAACGATAAAGTGTTGGTGGGTGCTCTCAGGGAACAGGCTCAGGTTAAAAGTCTTCTAATCGATGAAATGCCCCAAAATACGGTATTTGCTGGTGATCAGGTTTCGGTTACATTATCCGGAATAGATGTTAATAACATTATGGTGGGCAATATTATATGTGATCCTCAACATCCCATACCCGTAACTTCACGTTTTCAAGCACGCATACTCGTCTTCAATGTCAAAGTACCCATTACCATTGGCTTCCCAGTGCTGTTGCATCATCAATCTCTTATCGAACCAGCTGTTATTTGTAAACTTAATGCTCAGATCCATAAGGGTACCGGTGAAGTTGTCAAGAAGAAACCCCGTTGTCTGGGCAATAATTCGTGTGCTCTAGTCGAATTGGAAACCACACGTCCAATTTGTATTGAACGCTATGCTGACTTTAAGGAATTGGGACGTGTGATGTTACGTGTGTCTGGTGTTACCATTGCAGCTGGTATGATTACAAAAATTCGCTAATACCTCGACTACAGTTATTTTCTATGGGGATTGATATTGTTTGTGTTTTTGGACTTAAATGTGTTAGATTTAAACAAAAAAACAGTTTCATATTTTCACATACTTTCTCAATTTAATGATTATTTTTAAGTTTTTTTTTTCGTACGTTATTTGTAATTGATCGTTAAACATTTTTTGTAACGAATTTTTGTAATATTTTTTTTTTATTATGATTTTTTGTTTTTTTTTTTTTTGCTAGCCAAATTTTGGCTGCTAAAATATAAAAGTAATAAAAAATATTAAAAAGATTAAAATAGTTATATTCTTTAATTAATTGTAACATTTTTTATAAAAAAAATGTCTATAGGTAAGGTAAGTTTGTATAACAGTTATTTCTATAAAAAGTTTTTATAACAGGATTTTTATAGAAAACATTTGTATAACAGTTTTTTTTATGGAAAAAAATTTGTACAACAAATTTTTATATAAAAAAGTTTTTATGGCAGCTTTTTTCTATAGAAAAAAGTTTTCGTATATCAGTTTTCTATAGAAAAATGTTTTAATAAGGGTTTTTCCATTGTTTTCGTATAACAGTTTTTTCAATAACAATTCTGTATAACGGCAGAAAAATTTTGTATAAGAGTCTTTTTTGAGTTTTTCTATAGAAAAAAATTGTATTACAGTTTTTCTTCAAAAAAATAGTTTGTATTACAGTTTTCTCTATATAAAAACTTTGGATAAGAGTTTCAGCATAGTTTTTGTTCGTATAACAGTTTTTTTCAATAATAATTCTGTATAACAGTTTTCTATAGAAAGAGCTTCTAAAACAGTTTATTTTGAATTATTTTTTTTTTATTTTAATAAAGTTTTTACTATTATTATATTATACAAAACAAATTTTTCTTAAGATCTGGCTGTTGTTATAAATGCAAACTTTCATTTGACATCTCTGTTCTTTTTTATATACTAACTGCGTTAATAACAATTTTTACCGGCTTTAGAGACGATTTTAAGCCGCCGCATTTAAATTTCAGCTGCAGTCGCCGCTAACGCCGTTAATTTTGGTCGGCGCAGGTTCCTGGTGTGACGCCCGTATTAAAAGCAGAATACAGAAATTTCTTCGCTCTCATGTTTTGTGAAAATTTATCCATAAAAACGTTAAATTTATAACGTAAATTGTGTTAAACCTAAAGCTTATGTGTTATTTATTAAAATAAGCATAAATTGTTAATAATTTTTTATACAACAAAGCACAAAAACACGGTAACAAAAAAAAATCCTAAAAGGCAAGTTCAGCGGAAATTTTAAGCTCAAAATTTTTTCTCACAAAAAAAAAAAGTAGAAATCCAAAGAAAAAAGCAAAGCAAACACGTATAAAGAGTGAAAAATTCAAATGAGTGTATAGAAAAAAATGAGTAAAATTAAAGAAATATAAAAGAAAAGAGTAAAAAGGAAATAAGAGTTAATTGAGTTGAAAAGGAAAAAAACAAGAGTGTGTATTTAATTTGCTTTTGTGAGTCATTACATTTTTTTTTTGCTTTGCCTTTGAGTAGTGAAGTTAGTAATGAGTTAATTAATAATAAAAAAAAATAAAATTTTACCAGAAAAAAGTGTAGAGATAATAAGAATTCTAATTTACTTTATTTTAGTTTTAGTTTTTCTCGTTGTTTACGAAATAAAAAATAATTGTTGCTGTTTTTTATCTCTACGTTTTTTTTTTAGGTGAAATTTGATTATACATTTTTTGCGGCACCGATCTGAACAAAAAATCCAACAGTTTTTTGTTGTTATTTTTTTGGTTTTTTTGCTAAAAAAAAGTATAAAGTGCCAAAAGTACACATAATATACAAAAAAGAATAACAAATAAAGTAGCAGATAAAAAGGAATAAGAACAAACGGCAACAACTACAATAACTGAAAAAAAGACAAGGCCCTGTTTAGAGCATTTAATTTATTACGACAGTGGGTACAATTCCTTTGTTAAATACAACTATAATAAAAAAGAGACAAAATTCAACAAAAATTAAAAAAAAAAGAAACGTCAAAAAGAACAAAAAACAAAAGTGCAAAATAACAGCATTGAAAACAAAAAATAAAAGATTTTATTAAAAAATAATAAATTAAAAGGCTGAAAAAGGAAAAAAAAGTAATTTAAAATAAAAAACAACAATAAAATTAATTAAATAACAAAAAAATTTTAATTACAACAACCGAAAGCAATCTTTGTGTTAAAACAACGCCTAACATCTTCCAATAGAAAATTAAGGAATATAACAACACTAACCTTAGCACCAGCAGAAGCAGCAGCACCAAAAGCCATCAACAACAAAGCCATTAACAACTTTCATCAAAAGCAACAGCACAAGTATAAGCAGCAACATCAACTTGGAAGAACAAACAATTAGGACGAGTTGCGAAAATAAATTTTAGCAACAAAGTGATAAGATAAGCAACCAACCCAACTACAACAACCAACAAAATCCCATAAGCCTTATTTACAACAACAACTGTAAACTTTTGAACTTTATTCCCCCCCAACTAACAACTAATCCAAATAAAATGCGTGAATATAAAATTGTTGTTTTGGGCAGTGGTGGTGTAGGCAAATCCGCTCTAACGGTACAATTCGTACAGGGCATCTTTGTGGAGAAATACGATCCCACCATTGAGGACAGTTATCGCAAACAGGTCGAAGTCGATGGACAACAATGCATGTTAGAGATTTTAGATACTGCCGGCACAGAACAATTCACCGCCATGCGTGATCTCTATATGAAAAATGGCCAGGGTTTCGTTTTAGTCTATTCGATAACCGCACAATCCACCTTCAATGATCTGCAGGATTTGCGAGAGCAAATCTTACGTGTCAAGGATACAGATGATGTACCCATGGTGTTGGTGGGCAATAAATGCGATCTCGAAGATGAGCGTGTTGTGGGCAAGGAGTTGGGTAAGAGTTTGGCAAATCAATTTAACTGCGCCTTTATGGAAACCTCTGCCAAAGCTAAAGTGAATGTTGTTGATATCTTTTATGATCTTGTTAGACAGATTAATAAGAAATCACCCGAAAAGAAACAGAAAAAACCCAAGAAAAATCTATGTGTTCTGCTCTAAGACTCCATACACAACAATAAACAACCACAACAACATACAAAATAAAACAACCAACAAACACACACACACACACACATACAGACACTTACATTTAAATATTTAAAATATTGTCTAGAAAACAAAAGAAACTTTAAAAAACTTAAAAATTAAAAAAAAAAAATTCCACTATTGTCGCCTTTTTTGCTACTTTTTTCTCTATAAATATATTTTTTTCATTAAATGGGTAAAAAAAAATTATTTTAAATAAAAAATTAAAAAAAAAATAGAATTTATATTTAAAAATATTCATAAAAAAATTTAGTTCTTAAAATTTAAAAATAAAAAAAAAACTTCCATAAAAAACCGTAAACAAACAAACAAAAAACAAAGCACAGAAAATTAAATTTATACATAAAAATCTATAATAAATTAATAAAATTACATTTTAATCCTTAAGCCTTTTTTAGGTTCTGTAAAGAAATCTAAATAAAATTTAAATTAAAAAATAATAAAATAAACATTTGTAGCATTTTGTTTTTAATTTTCATTATTTTTTTTATTATTTTATATGTTTTTCTTATTTATTACTTAATTGGTAGTAGGCAACAGGGTTTTTTTGTTATAAACATTATCAACAGTTTTTTTTTTTTTGATATGCGAAATATTTTATCAATTTTCTTTGCGTTTTTGGTTTTTTTCTAAAAATGTTTTATTTTTTTATAGATAATTGTTTATAGGTGTTTGGGTTTATTTCTAGAAAAGTTTTTTTTTCTTATTAGTTTCAAGTATTTTTTGTTTATTTTTTCTATTAACATTTTTTTAAGTTAATAAATTATAGTAGAAAGTGTCATATGCAATTATTTAATGGGTCTTGCATAATCGCCACTTGTTGGTATAATATATTTTTAAAGATATAATTTTGTTTATAATAACTTTTGATGGAATTTTCATAATTTTGATGCGAAGTAGAAAGTGATTAAAAACTTTCATGTTTTTGAGTTGCTCTTGGTATAAACTACAGAAGTCCACAAAATTAAAAAAAGCTTAAAGCCAAAAGGTTGAAAAAACTGTTATCTATTATATCTTGTTCCTTTTTTAAGATACCATTTGGATCAATTATGTATGACAAACGAACAACAGTTAGTTTGCCAGCTAACAATGCAAGACAATGTTATCAATCTGGAACTGGCAACTCAAATGAAGTGACAAACGAAATACATAATCGAACTAAAGTTTGAAAATTTAAAAGTTTCGACTTTATTTTACGGGAAAAACATTAAGGGATGAGATCTTTACATATAGAAGAGATATCTAAACATTTCAAAGCTATTTCATGGCAAAAACTATGGTAATTTGTAACCTTGAAAGGGCAAGATCAGATTCTGATTTCATATACTTATTTGAAAAAGTATACTCTTTTCTGCTAGTAAATCGTGGTTCGTATTATCTCAGAAAAAGTTAACCGTTTAGTTGTTGTTGTTTTAGTTGCCGATAGTCCGTTTCTGGGGATAAAACTTTCGGTTGATATAGCTGTCGCTGCGTTGATATTCTTTGGCCGATTAGTATCGTCCCGTATCTTTCAAACAATTGTCATGGTAGCCCAACGTTTATTTACCTATTTTCCTATCTTCTATGAACTTATATTTTACTTCAAAATGTTCAATTTCATCAAAAATAAAACAATATGCTTCACTAGGGCCGATAATACCAAATAGTTTTATTTCAAAAGTACAATTATACAAATTTTTCAAAAGCTTGAATATAAGAAGATAAAATTTCCTGTATTTGGTAACAAATCGGCTAAAATATTGTTGCAACAAGACAAATGCTTTGACCCTTCCTTTTTTAATAAGAAACATATACATTTTCGGACTACTATAAACGTAAAAAGTTTAGAAAGTATTTATGGGCCAAATTTTATAAACAACTTATTCGATCACGAATGTAATATTTCATTCAAATATTTCAAACCAAATTACCAGTTAAAGTGAGTAATAAATAGAACTCATTCTCTTTTAATTCTGAGTAAGATTAAATGTATTTTGAGTTCTATTCTTTCCCTATTACAGAATGAGAAACGTCTATATTTGAAAATCTTGTTGTATTTATATAGTTGGTTTATCAATATGCAAGTTAGAATTTCTTTAAAAGTTATAAAGATGTACATTATTCCAATTGGAATGTCAAATTGACAGAAAATCAGAGAGAGAGAGAGAGAGAGAGGAAGAACAAACTAATCGTTTATAGGTATAAATAGATTTCACTTTTTTTGCTTTAAAGGATATTGAAAAGTTTCATTAAGGGTTTATTGTAGAGAAAAGAAAATATCTCGAACTATCGGAAGCTTAACTAGGGCAAGCGTATATTAACGTTACGAGTTAAAAATTCTTATAGGGAGACATTTTCTCTCCTAATCTCTTCAATATTTGACCATCTAAATGTTTTGCCTCCTCTAGATGTTTTAATTTGAAGATTGATTTTAAAAAATAGGAAAATTTTGCAAACAAAAGATTATTTTAGTTCCCATTTATAATTAATAATATTAAATGCAACAGAACCTCGAATCCGCCTTCAGGTTTTCGTTCCTACAAAACTTCTAGGTTGAAGCCACCTTAGGAATCGTCCTGTCTTTATTTCTATTTCCATTTTACTTGTTCTTTTGTTCTTTATAGTGTTTTGTTTCTCAATCTTTTGGATCTTTTTACTCTATGAAGGGATTCACAATGGACCCTATGGTTTCCGAATGAAGTTGCAGCTATTTATGATGCATAACCCTTCTTAACCTAAACCTATCAGTTTTTCGAGATATTGTTTCGTTTTTTTATGGTTTATTTAAACTTTTGGACACCAAGAAGAAAATCTAATGAAAGATTAAGTAAATATATCAACAGAAGACTTCCTTATGCCACTAATTTGACAAAAATTTATAGTTTACATGAAACCACACAATTTAGAAATGTTTAGTCAGGATTTTAAACTTATTTAAACAATATCTTAACCTGTTGAAATTTTCGGCATTCTTCCATTTCTCTGCTATTTATTTCTCTACTCATTTCTCATACCACATCTTCCTCATTCTGTTAAACGCCCCTCAGCATGACGAATCTTTTTCTAAACCCCCCCCCCCCCATCTCCCCCTAATAATACAAATAAGTATTTAAAGAGAGTAATCATTTTTTTTTTTTGCTTATTTGCTGTTGACAAGAGCTTCACTTTCAGTCCATGAGTCGTGTGCAAATGAGTCATAGAGCTGAAACTTAAAATGATTTCTTACAAAAATACAATGTTAACATGAGCTAGAATAACAATAGAAATGTTATTAGTAAAATGTGCGGTTTGCAGATATTTATCATCAACAAAGACTGAAATATATATTGTACAGGCAAAAAGATGTATTTTTAAAAATAAAGGCGAGATTACTCAAACGTAACGTATTAAACAACAATAAGCTAAAAATTCACTTGTGACTTATTCTTAAAGAGGTTAGGGGTCGATTGATAAAAGAAATCAGCTTAAAACAGATACTAAGGCGGGCGTTCTACACTGACTTTTAAAATTCAGAAATTAATGACAATTATGCAGGCCTTAAAATTTGGTCATATTTGGGACGTTATAACAGGGCGAAGACAACTTTATTTCAAAAATCTGTTATGTCATCTGAAAGTCCAGTCTGTCGGCTTTAAAAAATGCGTTAACATCTGTCATATCTTCTTTTTTCTTCGAGATATCTTAACCTAAATCTTGAAACAACCATAAATTTACAAATATGTTCAGAATGAAATGTATACTCGGCCTCTGGGTTTTGACGTTTTTTAACAATTTATTGGCCCGTCTTATTATCAATTTGTTAATAGCAATCTTCCTGGTGTAAAAGTTCTAATAATATTTTTATTATTTTTCATTCCCAAAGTTTCTGTAAACGTTTTTTTAATTATAATTCTTATTAATTAAAACCGCAAATATAATTGTTATTAATTGCTATAACAATTATCTTTGAGTGGATTTCTTTTTTTTTAAATACTCATAATAATAGAAGGGGAAAAAACATCCAATTTTATAATGACACTTCTTGAGGTTTTCTTTTTTTTTAAAGATTTCTCTGATAAACTTTTAGTTTTTTTTTTAATTATTTTTATATAATAGAAAATAAACATATTTCTACCAATTAAGTAATTTTATTTTAACTCTACTCACTTTGTTTTAAGATTTTTTTTTTTAAATTCATTTAAAATATTTGATTTGCAATACATTTTTCTTTTAAGTTTGTTTTTTTTTTTGCCAACATTTTAATAGTACATAAATAAAAGTTATTTAAGTATTGCTGAATTAATTTAAAATAAATTTTTTATACAATACAAAAGAAAAAAAATTAAAAATAATAAACTAAACAAATAGTATCATTGTTATAAACAAAATACATTGTCCAATAATAAAACATTAATAAACTATATAAAAACAATAATAGGGTGTTCCGGAGAAATGTTTTTTAAAATTCTAAACTAATTTAACAAAGAAAGCTAAAACACCGAATGTTATACAATTAAAGAAAATGTTTATGAAAATTTCTGAAAATGTAATAAGTAAAAATATTGCTCGAAAAGAAAGTATTCTCTTATTCTGAATCAGGCTTCAGTATATCTACATCCATATGAAATTGAAAAACCCATGATTTAGTCATATATATTATGACTAAATCTTAACAGTCGGGTTGTTAAAACTTTTAATTAAAACTTATAAATCTGACAAGCAATTACTAGTTTTTTTGAATGAAAAGTAAATTTATTTGTAGTTTAAATTAAGAATGATAAACGTATATTTTAAAGTTGTATTTAGTACTATAAATAATGGTACTTTTTTGATATTAAAAGTACCTAATTATTCGAAAGCTTTAGAAGTATGTACTAACAATACGATCACTTTCCGAATCAAAACTCTAGTAAGTGAAAGGTTATTTCACCTTCGAGGTAGATTGGAGTCGATTCAGATGTATCGATCAAAATCAACTATTGTGAATGAACAGTTGTCGGGAATATCACGATTGCAATTATTTCTATGAGGGATATGAACATTTCATGGGAATACAAATTTCAGAATCAAAACTCTAGAGAGTAAGTGAAAGGTTATATTCACCTTCGAGGTAGAGCGGAGTCGATAGGATTCAGATGTTTCGAACATAATCAACTATTGTGAATGAACAATTCTCGGGTATATCACGATAGGAATTTTCCCTTTGAGGGATATGAAAATTTTATGGGAATACAAATTTCAGGTTATAATTGAGAACGTGATATAAATCCCATACTTTTTTTTTGGATATCGAAATCAATGAATTT